ATAGGTAAGAGTTATTTACGCTTAAGACTAATTGGGGCCGGGCGCGGTGGCTCAAGCCTGTAATCCCAGCACTTTGGGAGGCCGAGACGGGCGGATCACGAGGTCAGGAGATCGAGACCATCCTGGCTAACACGGTGAAACCCCGTCTCTACTAAAAAATACAAAAAACTAGCCGGGTGAGGTGGCGGGCGCCTGTAGTCCCAGCTACTCCGGAGGCTGAGGCAGGAGAATGGCGTGAACCCGGGAGGCGGAGCTTGCAGTGAGCTGAGATCCGGCCACTGCACTCCAGCCTGGGTGACAGAGCGAGACTCCGTCTCAAAAAAAAAAAAAAAAAAAAAAAAGACTAATTGGACTACATTTGTGAGTTTTTTTAAACCAGGGAACTGGCCATGTGCCGTGGCTCATGCCTGTAATCCTAGCACTTTGAGAGGCAGAGGCCGGTGAATGACTTGAGCTCAGGAGTTCGAGACCAGCCTGGGCAACATGGCGAAACCCGGTCTCTACAAAAAAAAACAAAAATAGCCGGGCGTGGTGGCGCCAGCCTGTGGTCTCAGCTACTGGGGAGGCTGAGGTGGCAGGATCGCTTGAGTCCGGGAGGTGGAGGTTGCAGCGAGCCGAGATTGTGCACTCCGACCTGGGCGACTGATTGAGACTCTGACTCAGCCAGGGAACTGTCTTGCCGTTTTCTTGTTTTTAAGGCGACAAATAGTTTGCAATGAAATATAATGGATGGCTCAGTACTGAAACTTCATAGGAGTATTACTAGAAATATTCAGCTGTTTACAAAGTGCTTCAGAGTTCAGGTGTCCTTGCCAAATGACCATTGGTTCAGTTCTAGGTAGCTTCATTTTATTTGGCTGCAGCATAACCCCTGCCAACTGCCCCACAAATGTGTGGTGTTTTATGAGGAGACTGAAACTGGGTGACAATTGCAGATGGAACTGCAGAATCACTACCAGTTTAGGAAAACTTAGTTAAATGGTGGCAATACTATTTAAATTCTCCTCTTTATAAAACGGATTGAATGTCGACACACAGTCATTTTAAGCAGGCTAGTGTAACTCCATATTCCAGCCATAAAATTTATGTGGGCAAGTGTCAGAAATTTGGCATCTTGAATTCTTTTTTTTTTTTTTGAGACGGAGTCTCTCTCTGTCACCAGACTAGAGTGCAGTGGAGCGATCTCAGGTCACTGCAACCTCCTACTCCCTGGTTTAAGCGATTCTTCTGCCTCAGCCTCCCGAGTAACTGGTATTTCAGGCACGCACCACCACACCCAGCTAATTTTTGTATTTTTAGTAGATACAGGGTTTCACCATGTTGGCCAGATGGTCTCGATCTCCTGACCTCGTGATCTGCCCGCCTTGGCCTCCCAAAGTGCTGGGATTACCGGTGTGAGCCACCATGCCTGGCCGACACCTTGAATTCTTAAACCATTTGAGTCTTGAAAGATTTGATTTCCAGCATAGTTGTTTATTGGAAGGTAACAGTAGGACAGACATTGACAGTTACTTGAATCAGTACCACTTACAGGCCTCTGGCACTCAGAATTGTCACTCACAGTTTTATAAGATGGGGTTTTTGAAAATTCTGACATTCTTTTTTTTTTTTTTTGAGACAGAGTCTCATTCTTTCGCCCAGGCTAGAGTGCAGTGATGCGATCTGGGTTCACTGCGACCTCCGCCTCCCGGGTTCAAGCAGTTCTCTGCCTCAGCCTCCTGAGTAGCTGGGATTACAGGCATGTGCCACCACGCCTGGCTATGAAAATTCTGACATTCTTTTATGTGAAAACACCTAACTTAGTATCTAGTTGACTCAAGATGAGAGATAGTTCTCAATGCTATAATTTGAATGTCTTTGAAAATTTCGCTAGTATTATACAAGCTTTTTCTTTTTCTATACTCAGAATTAGTAATGCAGTAAGCTGTGTCTAATGACATCGTAGTGTCATCCAAATTCATTGTATAAGGACTCATCACAGTACATGGATTTGTAATCATGTGTCCTCAGAACATCCTCGGAACTTAGTAAGATGGGTTTTCCAGTTTTACAGATAAATAAGCCTAAGCTGAGATAATTAGGTAATTACTTAGGTCAGTGACTTAAATACCTTATGAATCACTAGTTATTTTGATATCAAGACCTGTTTCTACCAATGCTGCCATATTGTACTCATCATGTTCGTTTCAATGTGGTTCTCATCTATATTGAACTGTAGATTCTGTGTTAGCATTTATTACCTCTGCTCCAGTATTGATTCTTTTATGTTAGGTTTGGCAGTAAGGGCCTTAGAAATTCCTCACAGTGAATTTTTAAGATCTGGAAGAGACTAGTTTGAAATATTCATTTTAATATGTATCACAGAGGTAATGGATTCTAATTGGTTATTGAAGTTTGTCAAAAGAAAAATTGTACTTCCACTAAAAAAAAATAGCTAGTCTTTGAACTCTGAGTAAGTTTGTTTCATCAGGGTTTTTTGGTCAATTTTTCTTTAAGAGACAGGGTCGTATTCTGTTGCTCACACTCAAGGGATCCTTCTGCCTGAGCCCTCCACAGTAGCTGGGACTACAGGTTTGCACTACCATGCCCAGCTAATTTTTTCAAAAACTTTTTGTAGAGTTGGGGTCTTGCTGTGTTGCCCAAGCTGGTCTTGAACTCCTGGCCTCAAGCAATCTTCCTGTCTCAGCCTCCCAAAGTGTTGGGATTGCAGGCGTGTGCCACTGTGCCCAGCCTGTCAATCTTAAATATGGAAAAATTATAACTTAATAAAATTAGTGTATATTTAGATATTTCTTTCCATACACTTAATTTTGTCAATGTAACTACTGGTAACAAATGTCAAAACTTATGTGAGATAATTTCTAGTTCTTTGGTTGGTTTGCTACTGATTCGGAAAGTGATATCAGATCTTAATTTATACATGACTATTGCTCATGTTTTGCTTACCTCCGCTGCAAAGGACAGGGTCCATGTGACTGCCTGGCCACAATCGTTTTCTATGTGTTTAGCCCTTAAGAGTGCTGAGAATGTTTGTTGAGTAACAGCTTCCCTCCAGAGTCGTCAGTTCTCACATCACATGAGGTAGTTAATGAAGCCTCTTACTTTCTAGCTTCTGTAAGAAAAGTAATCAGATATCATGGTCCAAGGAATGGCCTTGTGCATACCTGGAGTCCTTATAACTATCCCATTTTAATTATATTGTCCTTAAAATCTTCAAGGTAAAAAGATTTGAACCTCTTCTTTGTGCCCTGAAAAATTCCAAGGAAAATTTATTTCTTTGTTACAAGTTGAGCTAGGCATAATGAAAGCACTCTGGAAAAAGGAGGTAGAGAATACTAAGAGATATCCAGCAGTTATTGCTAAGTGGTGGGATTGGCATCGGACACGTTATGTATATTTTTATCTTCCTCTTTTTTTTTTTTTTTTTTTTTTTTTTTTTTTTTTTGAGACGGAGTCTCGCGCTGTGTCACCCAGGCTGGAGTGCAGTGGCGCGATCTCGGCTCACTGCAAGCTCCGCCTCCCAGGTTCACGCCATTCTCCTGCCTCAGCCTCCGAGTAGCTGGGACTACAGGCGCCCGCCACCACGCCCGGCTAGTTTTTTGTATTTTTAGTAGAGACGGGGTTTCACCGTGTTAGCCAGGATGGTCTCGATCTCCTGACCTCGTGATCCACCCGCCTCGGCCTCCCAAAGTGCTGGGATTACAGGCTTGAGCCACCGCGCCCGGCCTTATCTTCCTCTTAATAGCTAAATATGAGATATTCCCCCCCATTTTAAAGATGAAGACTTTGAAATACAGGGTAAGTGGTCATGGTAGGATATGAAAGCAAGATTGGGCTGGGCATAGTGGCTCACGCCTGTAATCCCAGCACTTTGGGAGGCTGAGGTGGGTGGATCATCTAAGGTCAGGAGTTCAAGACCAGCCTGGCCAAAAGGTGAAACCAGATCTCTACAGAAAATAAAAATTAGCTAGGTGTGGTGGTGGGTGCCTGTAATCCCAGCTACTTGGGAGGCTGAGGCAGGAGAATTGCTTGAACCCAGGAGGCAGAGGTTGCAGTGAGCCAAGATCGTACCCTTGCACTCCAGCCTGGGTGACTGGGAGGCTGAGGCAGGAGAATTGCTTGAACCCAGGAGGCAGAGGTTGCAGTGAGCCAAGATCGTGCCCTTGCACTCCAGCCTGGGTGACAGTGAAACTCCATACCAAAAAACAAAACAAAACAAAAATTAGCCAGGTGTGGTGGCGCATGCCTGTAATCCCAGCTACTTAGGAAGCTGAAACAGGAGAACCGCTTGAACCCAGGAGGTGAAGATTGTGGTGAGCTGAGCTCACACCACTGCACTGCACTGCACTGCAGCCTGAGCAACTGAGTGAGACCTTGTCTCGGGGGGAAAAAAAAAGTCTTTCCTGGAATTCTCCAACACTTGAGCTCTTATCTTAAGTATAATTGCATTATATTAGACAGTCAATTCAGTGCTTATTGATTTGAGGTAATTGTTTGCTACTTGTTTGTAGGAGACACACATTGATTGGGAAAGGGCAAGTGAGTGAGATTTCTCTTTCAACTGAAGACCCTACCATAAGGTCAGGTGAATATTAGATTTTCCTCTGCTTTCTTTTCAGTACAGTGTTCATATGGTGTTCTTTTTCTTTTTCTTTTTTTTTTTTCTGAGACAGAGTCTCGCTCTGTTGCCCAGGCTGGAGTGCAATGGCGCAATCTCAGCTCACCACAACCTCTGCCTCCCGGGTTCAAGTGATTCTCCTGCCTCAGCCTTCTGCGTAGCTGGGACCATCGGCGCGTGCCATCATGCGTGGCTAATTTTTGTATTTTTAGTATAGACGGGGTTTCTCCATGTTGGCCAGGCTGGTCTTGAACTCTTGCCCTTGTGATCTGCCCGCCTTGGCCTCCGAAACCAAAGGAGGATTACAGGCGTGAGCCACCATGCCTGGCCTGGTGTTCCTTTTCTTTTCATCTTTACTTAACAGCTTTCCCCAAGGACACAGAAGAAAACAAATAGAAAGTTATAGAAAGGAATACTGTTTTCTTTTGGGAAAGAAGGTAGTATTGAACATGTATTTTTGGGGCAGTTAGCATGTGGAAGTAAAAGGTACTTGTCAGTGATGGCAGTCACTTAGTAACCTAGTTGTTGTAGCTAGGATTTTTGTTGGTTATAGTTGATGAAAACCCACTTAAAATTAGCTTAAGCCAAAAGAGATAATTTATTGGACTCCAAAGAAGGGTACAGGAAGGGCAGGGGTAAAATGTAGCTTGGTTTATGAACGTATGGAGCCTGTCAGACTTAATCAGACTCTCCTTCTCTCTTTTGCCTTTTCAGGCTTGTCTGCTTCACTCCTGCTTTCTGCAGACCTATATTTCTACCTGGCTAGCCTCTGAATGTCACATTAATTAGACTTTCTTGATATTCGCTGCTCCTAAGTTTGAAAATCGGGAGAAGGGATACTTTAGGTATCCAGACGACAAGGTAATACAAGAATGTGGGCCCAGTATGGTAGCTCACACCTGTAATCCTAGCACTTTGAGAGGCCAAGGCAGGTGGATCGCTTGAGCCCAGGAGTTCAAGACCAGCCTGGGCAACATAGTGAAACCTGGTCTCTACCAAAAGAAAAAAAAAAATAGCTGAGCATGGTGGCACATGCCTGTGGTTCCAGCTACTTGAGATACTGAGATAGGAGGATCACTTGAGCCCAGGAGGTTGAGGCTGCAGTGAGTCGTTATCATACCACTACATTCCAGCCTCTGGGTGACAGAATGAGACCCCATCTCAAAACAAAAAGCAAGGGAATCATAAGAGAAAATATATTTACAGTTCTATCTATAGTTATCAATACCATAAGTTTATGTCAGCTGTTTACAAAATGAATCATCTGTCAGAAATAATGGGCAACCACAGCTGTAGACCTCAATCTAACATAACCCATCAAGCAATTAAAAAAACAAGAATGCGGGAAGTCCCACAGAATCATATGGATTGCCTAGGAAGTACAGAGAGGTGGGACTGTTTTATTATGAATGTCATAACTTATTTTGAATTACCAGAGAAACATATTTATGGACTTATTACCCTTTTCTTTTTGAGATAGTATCTTCCTCTGTCCCACAGACTAGAGTGCAGTGGCGTAATCATGGCTCACTGTAGCTTCAACCTCCTGAGCTCCTGATCCTCCTACCAGTCCCTCCTGTAGCTGGGACTACAGGTGCTCAGCACCACACCCAGCTAATTTTTCTGTTTTTTGTAGAGATGGGGTCTCACTGTGTTGCCTATGGTGGTCTCAAGCAATCCTCCCACCTTGGCCTCCCAGAGTGCTGGGATTATAGGCGTGAGCCACCGTGCCTAGCCTTTTTTTTTTTTTTCTTTCTTTATGAGGTGGAGCCTCACTCTGTTGCCCAGGCTGGAGTGCAGTGGCGCAATCTCGGCTCACCACAGCCTCTGCCTCCCAGGTTCAAGCGATTCTCCTGCCTCAGCCTCCCAAGTAGCTGAGACTACAGGTGGGCGCCACCATGTCTGGCTAATTTTTGTATTTTTTGTTGAGACGGGGTTTCACTGTGTTGGCCAGGCTGGTCTCAAACTCCTGACCTCGTTATCTGCCTGCCTCGGCCTCCCAAAGTGCTGGGATTACAAATGTGAGCCACCGCTCCCGGCCTCAGCCTATTACTTTTAATGGCTGTGATTCTACCAAGAACAGTATTTAAAGAGAGACCAGTTTTAATATGTGTAAACTGTAAAAGTTGTTTTAAAAATCACCACCACCAAGATAGGTTTTCTGTAAAATCTTCAGTTTATAAAAAATGCAATTTAACTGGGCATAGTGGCTTATGCCTATAATTCCAGCACTTTGGGTGAGGGAGGGAGGAAGATTGCTTGAGCCCAGGAGTTTGAAACCAGCCTGGGCAAGATATCAAGACCCCACCTCTACAAAAAATAAAACTTAGCTGGGTGTGATGCCATGTGACTGTATTCCTAGCTACTCAGGAGGCTGAGGTGGCAGGCTTGCTGGAGCCCAGGATATTGAGGCTTCAGTGAGCTATGATTGCACCACTCCGCTCCAGCTTGGGCAACAGAGCAAGACCCTGTCTCAAAAATAATTAAGATGAAAATTTTTCAAAAAATGCAATTTAGTCTAGACCCAACAATACTGTCAACTTCTTGATGGAGGTACTTCCGTCACTTCTATTGTCTTGTAGTACTTAACGAGGGATATATCGAGTATGTACCAGTACCAGGCACCATTCTAAGCACTGTGATGTTTCATCTAGTTTAATTTTCACAAACTCTTTTGTTTTTGGTGCCATCAAATTTACATAAGCAGACAATAACTCTCATTTTAGAGATGAGAAAACTGAGGCAGATAATTGGGAAAGCCGGGCTCATGTGTCTCATATGTGGTCAAACTGAGATTTGAACGTTGGCAGTTGAGCTCTATCGAGTCTGTGTTTGCTGTGTGTCTAATAAGAACGTAGTAGGAACTCTACTTAAAATATGAAATTTGATTGCTCTGGTGCTAAATAACCCAGAGGAGATGGTGTGTTTTTGTTGAGCTCAGCAATAATCTGAAACTATAATGAGATTTAACTCCTAAATTGGCAGACTGATTAGAGATTGGACCCTACATGGGATGTTTTAAGGGAGTTGGGAGAGCCATGAGGACCTGCTCTGACTGAGAACTTTTTATTTTTTTGGTGTTCAATTAACAGTTTATTCTGTCATCACAGAGTTTGAAATTTAATTATGGAGCTACATAAATATCCATAGTATAAGATAGAAAGTGATTGAAGTCATTAGTGACACACAGATAGAAAAAAGGTGTTAGAATGAAGTAACCTGAAATAGCATCTCATCCCTGCTTCTTAGAGTGTATCCGTAAGCCAGAAACTTTGACTTTTCCTGGGTGGAGTCTCAAGCCGTGCTCCAAACCTCCTGAATCAGAATCTTTTTCTTTTTCTTTTTTTTTTTTTGAAATGGAGCTTCACTCTTGTTGCCCAGGCTGGAGTGCAGTGGCATGATCTCGGCTCACTGCAACCTCTGCCTCTCTGGTTCAAGCGATTCTCCCTCCTCGTCCTCTCAAAGTGCTGGGATTATAGGTGTGAGCCACTGCGCCTGGCCTTTTAGAGTCTGTATTTTAACCAGGTGATTTGTATTTTTATTAAAACCTAGAGCCTTTTGATTTAATAACACTTGCTTTAATAGTATCAAAACATGTTCATTAGAGAAATTAGGTTAATCATAACTGCTTGTACATACTAGCTTTCTTCATCATGTACATTCTGTTCCCAAAAGATCTGTGTAATTTGTGGGTACTAGAAAATGCTCATGTGTTCAGAATGTGTTTTTTGTTCAGTCCAAGTCTCCAGGTTAAAATTCATCCATTTTAATCCCCGAGTCTTTTTTTTTGAGGCTGTCTTGCTCTGTTGCCCAGGCTGGAGTGCAGTGGCATGATCTTAGCTCACTGCAACCTCCGCCTCCCAGGTTGTTCAAGCAATTCTTGTGCCTCAGCCACCTGAGTAGCTGGGATTACAGGCATGTGCCACCACGCCAGGCTAATTTTTGTACTTTTAGTTGAGATGGCGTTTCGCCATATTGGCCAGGCTGGTCTTGAACTCCTGGCCTTGAGTGATCTGCCTGCCTCAGCCTCCCAAAGTGCTGGCATTACAGGCGTGAGCCACTGCGCCCACCCTACCCAGTCCTTTCTTGTGACCTATTGTTCCCAGGCATATGTTAAGACTTAGAGGAAAGTTTGATTACTACTTAAAGAATAAAAAATATCTGAAATCCTCTAATTGAAAGGCACCAATCTTGTCTTTAAGATCGTTGCTTGTTTGTTTCTTACAAAAATAGAAGTGGGGGGGGCGGGGGGGAAGGCAAACAGCAACGCATTGCTGGAAGTGCTGTTTTCTACTTTTGTCTTCACCTGTATTTTATACTGAGTATGATTTGTAAACATGCCCAGAATATTTATAATCTCAATTGCAAACGTGATTCTGTGAAGTATTTTATGCAGCATCAAAGGGACATGTCTTTAAAAAGCATCCAAGACAAATCATTTTTCAGCTGACAGAACAGATTTGTTTTTTTTTGTTTTTGTTTTTTTGGGTTTTTTTTTTTGAGACCAAGTCTCACTGTTGCCCAGGCTGAAGTGTAATGGTGCGATTTCAGCTCACTGCAACCACTGTCTCCCGGGTTGAAGTGATTCTCCTGCCTCAGCCTCCGGAGTAGCTGGGATTACGGGCACCCACCACCATGCCCGACTAATTTTTGTAGAGACAGAGTTTCACCACGTTAGCCAGGCTGGTCTCAAACTCCTGACCTCAGGTGATCCACCCGCCTTGGCCTCCGCAAGTGCTGGGATTACGGACATGAGCCACTGTGCCCGACTTTTTTTTTTTTTGAGACAGGATCTCACTCTGTTGCCCGGGCTGGAGTGCAGTGGTGTGATCACAGGTCACTGCAGCCTCCATTTCCCAGGCTCAAAATGATGATGCTACCTCAGCCTCCTGAGTAGCTGGGACGCGAGTGCCACATCCGGCTAATTTTTGTATTTTTTGTAGAGATGGGTTTTCACCATATTGCCCAGGCTGGTCTCAAACTCTTGAGCTCAAGTGATCTGCCTGCCTTGGCCTCCTAAAGTGTTGGGATTATAGGCAGGAGCCACAGCACCCGGCCACTTTTCACCTTTTTTAAGTGATGTAAAAAACACGTAAAGTTTACCCTCTTAATTATTTTTCAGTGTACAGTTTAGTAGTGTTAAGTATATTTGCATGGTTGTGCAACAGATCTCCAGAACTTTTTCATCTTGCAAAACTGAAACTATGCCATTTGAATACCTACTCCCCGTTTACCCCTCCCCCATTCAATGATTTGTTCCACCATTCAACTTTCCTGTTTTTATGAGTTTGACTACTTTAGATACCCAATAAGTTGGTTTGTATAGTATTTGTCCTTTTATGACTGGCTTATTTTATTCAGTCTAATGTCCTCACAGTTCATCCATGTTGTAGTATGTGTCAGAAGTACCTTCCTTTTAAAGACAGTACCTTTCCTTTGTGTGTATATACTGCATTTATCCATCTCCATCTGTTGATGGACATCTGGATTGCTTTCACCTTCTGGCTGTTGTGCATAATGCTGTTATGAACATGGGTGTACAATGCTTTTCGCTTTTTTGTGAAGCTGTGAAGCTTTGCTAAATCATGTGTGAGTTTGTAACTGAGGAAAACCGTTACATGAGGTAGGAAACTTTAGCTGATGATCTCTGCCTTTCTCCTTGCTAGTTAAATGTATAATCTTATGTAAGTTACACGATCCCCACCAGTCTTTTGGGCCTCCTTATGTAAGAGAGGAAAATGCATTCACAAAGTCATAATTAAAGCAGCTGAAATAATGTATATTAAAGCTTTTTTTTTGAGATGGAGTTTCATTCTCTTCACCCAGGTTGGAGAGCAGTGGCATGATGTCGCCTCATTGCAGCCTCTGCCTCAGCCTCCTAAGTAGCTGGGATTATAGGCGCCCGCCATCACGCCTGTCTAATTTTTGTTTTTGGTTTTGTTTTTTTGAGACGGAGTCTTACTCTGTTGCCCAGGCTGGAGTGCAGTGGCACAAACTCGGCTCAATGCAAGCTCCACCTCCGGGGTTCACGCCATTCTCCTGCCTCAGCCTCAGCGCCTGTAGCCTGGGACTACAGGCGCTCGCCACCATGCCTGGCTAATTTTTAATTTTTGTATTTTTAGTAGAGACCGGGTTTCACCCTGTTAGCCAGGATGGTCTTGATCTCCTGACCTTGCGATCCGCCCGCCTCAGCCTCCCAAAGTGCTGGGATTACAGGCATGAGCCACCGCACCCAGCTAATTTTTGTATTTTTAGTAGAGATGAGGTTTCACCATGTTGTCCAGGCTGGTCTTGAACTCCTGACCTCAGATGATCCGCCTGCCTCAGCCTCCAAAAGTGGTTGGATTACAGCCGTGAGCCACTGCGCCTGGCCTTAAAGCCCTTTTGAGATTCTTAAAGTGTAAGGAGGCCAGTGACTGCTTATTTATCAGTTTTCCTTTGCAATTCAACAGCAATTACATTATTTGCTGTTTAGAACTTCTGATTTTTTGGACTTTGTTCTTTTGATGAGATATCTTTAGAACAATCTTTGTAATATTAGATGTTGGTATCATGAATTCATCAACTATGCAGTGTCCAAATTTTTTATTTTAAAAACATAGTAACTTTAATGTTGAAAGAATGACATGATAGAAGAGAAGCTTGGATTTTACTACGTGATGAGTTCCTGATTATAGTTTTTAGACTATACAGATTAGTGAAAGTATCTACAAAATAGCTCTTGTTTTGAAAGGAGCTTGTTAAAAATCAAGAAACTAGACATTTTGAATAACAATCTATGATTGTAACTCTTGGTTAATCTCCAAAGAGTGGAAGAATGTGAGTCAATGAAGGAGTTAATTGCCTGGTGTTAACCTTGAGAGGGCTTATGGTAGAAGTGAAAGAAGTTGCCAGTTCCTTTCAGATGCTGTAGTTCCAGGCTCTACCCATTACATTTCCCCAGCTACAGATAGAGCTGTAATAGTGATTTGATATGTGGCAACAAACGGTATTATTTATCTTCTTTAAAGGTAGTTGCTTTTTAAAAGAAATCGTGTTTTATTTTATGATCCAGAGCAACTTAGGGATGTTTGTCTTCTAGGCTCATCAACAGAGCAGACGAGCAGACCGTTTATTAGCTGCAGGCAAATACGAAGAGGCTATTTCTTGTCACAAAAAGGCTGCAGGTGAGTGTTATTAAGTACTCAGTGTAAAACTGAAGAGCAGAAAGTCACAATAGTAATAATGTGTGTTGCTTTTCATATACAAGACTGATACTGCTGACTCACCAGAATATCAGCTTTGATTATTTTTCAAGTAAGTGTGTTGGATTTCCCAGCTCCTGCTAGTCCAATCTTCTTTCTAAACCATGAAGATGGCATAAATGTGGCAAACAATTCCTGGACACAGCCTTCTGAGCCCAAAGATCCCTAAAAACAGGAGCTGATTGTAACAAGTCTGCCATTTTATCTTAGTTATTATAAAAAAGGAGTTTGGGTTTCAAATAATTTACCATTTCAGGTTCTCAAAATAGTAATTCAATTCAGTTCCAACCAATTCATTTTCACTGAGTTTCTGTTTTCTAACATGCTGATAATGCAAAACTTGCTAAAGACTTTTGTTACCTAAAATGTGGGAGATTTTTCCTGTGGTCTTTTTTTAGCTTCCCTTCTGAATATCTCATCTCTACATGCATGCCTATAGTAACATGCTGATGATAGCTTTCATTTCAGAATTGTTGGCTTCTTATCAAAGACCTAATTTTACCCTAGTCAGTCAAGCAACCTAGCATATGTTGAACTCAGAAATAGATCTTGGGGGCCTGTTTTTCTTAGACCAGTTTCTGTTGGCTGAGTAACAAACCGAAAAACTTTGGGTCCTCGTTAGTGTAGTGGTAAGTATAAAAATAGAAATAAAAAAAAATTTAAAAATCTTTGGGGAAAGGATGTTTTACTCATGCCACATCCAAAGTGAGTGCAGGTCATCTTTCTTAGGGCAGACCCTGAAGTCTTCTGCTGGCAGGCACATTCCTTTCCCTCTAGGCCAGTATGATGATCAGAGCCATATTCTTTCCTGACAGAGGCTGCCCCTCTCTTGATATTTTACTTGTGAAATACAGACTGCAAGGTGGGCAGTAGATTGGGTAAGTCTTCTCACTACAGTGTTTTTTGCCTAGAAGTTAGTAATACATTTTCAGAGAAAATTTTAAGTTTTGTTTGTTTGTTTGTTTTCCTTTTTGGAGACGGAGTCTTGCTGTGTCGCCCAGGCTGGAGTGCAGTGGCACGGTCTTGGCTCACTGCAACTTCCACCTCCTGGGTTCGAGTGGTTCTCCTGCCTCAGCCTCCTAAGTAGCTGGGAATACAGGTGTGTGCCACCACACCCGGCTTGTATTTTTAGTAGAGACGGGGTTTCTCCATGTTGTTCAGGCTGGTCTCAAACTTCTGACCTCATGATTGACCCACCTTGGCCTCCCAAAGTGCTGGGATTATGGGCATCAGCCACTGTGCCAAGCCCTTTTTTTTTTTTTTTTAGTTCTGGGGTACATGTGCAGAACGTGCAGGTTTGTTACATAGGTATACACGTGCCATGGTGGCTTGCTGCACCCATCAACCCGTCGTCTACATTAGGTATTTCTCCTAATGCTATCCCTCCCCCAGCCTCCCACCCCCACTTTTTTTAAAAAAGAAATATTTTTGCCACTGAAGTGTACTGGAGGTATCTGCTGTAGGTCCGAGCATACAGTAGATATCCCATAAATCTTTGGGTGTTTTTATGGTGAGAGGGCTTTGTACAGTGTTAAACATGTCAACTAGTGCTCTTTAAATCTTTCCTAAACCATATTTTGTTATGAATCAGATTGTTAAATCTGTAGTCACTACAAAGACGATGTACCGTGTTTAACTATTTAAGAAAACCATGTTTTATGTGGATGCCCCAGTGAAACAATACCTTATGTAACCCAAAATGGTCATGGTTACATATATATAACATATGTTAAGTGGAGTGAATCAGCATATGTTACGCACTGAGCTATGGGATGTTATGAATATATAAAAAGAAGGAAGTTTTAGTCGTAACCTAATCCTTGTCTTTGAAGACTTAAAACTGATGTTGGGCTTCAATTAACCACTTCCCACCCCCAGTCTAAATTCTGTGACATTCTCAGGAGTAGAAAAATAAGACAATCTGTTAGATCACATTAGCTTAAATTATAGAGATAGAACTTAATGTGATTAGTAAATCCCACTGGGTTGATTGGGGGTTTCAACTTGTGTTTTAGAATGGAGTTGAAAATTGACGTGGTTGAAATGAGCTCGCTTTTTGAAATTGACTTGCATCTCTAGGGCTTATAACTGGTGTTGAAAGGTATGGATGTAGGTGTATTCTGTAAGGAAGCAACTTATTTGGAAATCGTTTTAGAGATGAGGCAAGAAAAGATCAACATCTGAGAAAGACTAATAGGAAGGAAAGGCTGAAATGAGAGAATTTAAGGGCAAACAGAGGGGGCCTGGGTGTCCAGCTGTCAAAGATCAGAGGAGATTCTGAGACTAAAAACATACCCTGAGATTACCTAGCTAAGGACTTTATAGCCTCTTTGTGGTGGTTGTATTGTAAATGTGCTGAAATAAGAAGTTGCTTGATGTCTCTTTCCTTTTGAGGAAAGGTAGGATCTCTTGAGGTGGACAATGAATGACCAAATTAAATGAAACTGAGCATGTGAGCATTCATTTGCCAGATAAGCACATCCCTAAGTGAATTTCTCTTCTTTTTTTTTTTTTTTTTTTTTTTTTTTTTTTTTTTTTTTGAGACGGAGTCTCGCTCTGTCGCCCAGGCTAGAGTGCAGTGGCGCGATCTCGGCTCACTGCAAGCTCCGCCTCCCGGGTTCACGCCATTCTCCTGCCTCAGCCTCCCGAGTAGCTGGGACTATAGGCGCCCACAACCGCGTCCGGCTAATTTTTTTGTATTTTTAGTAGAGACGGGGTTTCACCGTGGTCTCGATCTCCTGACCTTGTGATCCGCCCGCCTCGGCCTCCCAAAGTGCTGGGATTACAGGCGTGAGCCACCGCGCCCGGCCGTGAATTTCTCTTCTTTCATACACAACAGAAGAACAAAACCTTAAATAAGTTAATAGCCATTAACAGTGCTTAGAACTCAAAATGAGCATTTCAGAAGATGAGCAGGCCCCAGAGTACACAGTATTTGTATGGATTTGATCAATATTTTGTTTGAAAATAAATCTTAACCTAAGCCTTTTGAAACTGTGGTAACATGAAAATGATTCTATCCTTATTCAGAGGCAGTATATTGCTGTACTTTCTATGCTTTGGGACCAGTTTAATAGATTCCTGATAGAAGAGTAATAGATGTTATTATTTTTTGTTTTTTGGTTTTTGTTTGAGACTGAGTCTTGCTCTGTCACCCGGGGTGGAGTGCCATGGCATGATCTTAGCTCATTGCAAGCTCCACCTCCCAGGCTCAAGTGATTCTTCTGCCTCAGCCTCCCGAGTAGCTGGAAATACAGGCGTGCGCCACCACACTCGGCAAATTTTTGCATTTTTTGGTAGAGACAGGGTTTCACCATGTTGGCCAGGCTGGTCTGAAACTAACTCCTAACACCAAGTGACCCGCCCACCTCGGCCTCCGAAAGTGTTGGGATTACAGGCGTGAGCCACTGCGCCTGGCCAGATGTTATTATTTTAAGACATTCTTCAGATTTCCTTAGTTCCTTTATTGTATCATTTACTTAATATCTACTTTACATTTTAGCCTCGTATCATAATTAAAGGATATAGTTTAACCAGAATTGTTAGCAGTTTTTGAGATAGGTACTCTTTTTCTACATTTCTGTGTTGCTGTACATTTGTATCTATTGTGAGTCTGTGGAAGAAATCCATAAACATGGAATCAGATTTAAAATAATTTTTCTTCTTTAAAAATAACTTTAAACTGCCCCATGTATAAGATTTAAATGTGGGGAATACTTTAAATGACAGTGTGATTCTTGTTGTATTCTTTGTGCTTTGGGATCTCCTTCGGTAGCCTCCTTTGTCATATACAATTTCAAGGTTCTACAAAGTGGGGAGGCATTTCAGTTGGCTAAAGCTTGGTTTTGTGAAAACTATTCGTTTGTTAAGAAAGTGGATTTAAAGCAAACTGTAGTTCAAACAGGGAGACAAATACACGCAGGCAAGATGGAAGGGATGTCTAAGAAAATTTGTCTACAGTGTATCAGAGCAATAGCAGAGCAGACAGAATGTCTCTGCAGATTTTTGGAGTCTCGCTCCATTACCCAGGCTGGAGTGCAATGGCGTGATCTTGGCTCAGAGCAACCTCCACCTCCCGGGTTCAAGCGATTCTCCTGCCTCAGCTTCCCTAGTAGCTGGGATTACAGGCGCCTGCCACCACGCCCGGCTAATTTTTTTTTTTTTAGTAGAGCTGGGGTTTCACCATGCTGGCCAGGCTGGTCTTGAACTCCCGACCTCAGGCGATCCACCAGCCTCGGCCTCCCTAAGTGCTGGGATTACAGGTGTGAACCACCACACTCGTCCATCTCCACAGATTTAAACATGAACAAAAGGAAAAGAAACTAGTATGCAGCTGTACAGACTTGCTACAGGAAAAAAAGACAAAGTGTTGTGGGAAGGATGTAATTATGGTAAGCATGGCTGGAGCAAAGACTATATAACCAACTCTCTTTTTTCTTTTAATTCTTTTCAAATTGATACAGGGTCTCGCTATGTTGCCCAGTGTAGTCTGGAACTCCTGGGCTCAGGCAATCCTCCTGTTTGGCCTCCCAAAGTGCTAGCCACTGCACCTGGCCCCAGCTCTCCTTTTTCCTGGAGAGGGAGCATCTAATTCAGCAGTCCCAACCTTTTTGCTGCCAGGGACCGGTGTTGTGGAAGTCAGTTTTCCACAGACCTGAGGTGGGGAAAATGGTTTTAGGATGATTCAAGCACATTACATTTATTGTGCACTTTATATTTTACAATGTAATAATAGAAATAATGAAATAATTATACAACTCAGTGTAATGTAGAATCAGTGGGAACCCTGAGCTTGTTTTCCTGCAGCTAGACAGTCTCATTTAGGGGTGATGGGAGACAGTGACAGATCATTAGGCATTAGATTATCATAAGGAGAGTGCAACCTAGATCCCTTGCATGTGCAGTTCACAGTAGGGTTTGTGCTATGAGAAGCTAATGCCGCTGCTGATCTGGTGGGAGGCAGAACTCAGGTGGTAATGCAAGCAGTGGGGAGTGGCTGTAAATACAGATGAAGCTTCACTGGCTTGCCTGCTGCTCCCTTCCTGCTGTGTGTGTGGCCCAGTTCCTAACAAGACATAGACCAATACCAGCCTGGGGGTTTGGGACCCCTGATATAATTGTATCTTAAGGACTACGGTAGAACCTAACAGGTAGGAACTCTTAAGTTATGACATCAAATCATTAAATTATTTGGATTAAGACTAGACAGAAAGCAATGCCTCATATCTGCAAAAAGGCAAAAGAGGGACTTAATATAGGTATGAGAGATGCCAAAAATGTTTACACAAGCAAGATAAAAATGGAGATTCATTATGGGCAATTCATTGATAATACAGAACTTGTTATTTATACCTAACCTTGTTCCCAAAAGGTTATAAAATGTCTTACCGATGAATGTATAATAAAATATCAAATGTAACTAAAGATGCATAGATAAGGACATCCATAGAGAGAGAAAGTGGGAAAGGACTAGTAGTATAGTTCACAAAATGTACCATTAGTTCTTGGATTTTTTTTAAGAACTTGCCTTAAGTTTTCTAGCAGTCATCCTAAAGAGGAAAGAATAATTTTTACATTGGCTTTTAAAATTCAAACAAATAGTCACCGAGGATCTAAGATCAGAGAAGTTTTTTGAAGGTCTTCATAAATGACATTATACTGTCCTCAGTAACTTCCTCACAGTAAGTATGTCAACAGGTTCTTAGGGCTTTTAACCGTAAGGCTGATGGCTTAACTCAGAGACAATTCATTAGAAGTGATTCTATAGGAGTCCAAAATGACTCCTATAGATTCCAGGTATTCAGATGGATAAAAAGTCATTGATAATCTCATGATGTTTTTGTGCATATAATGAGTAATAGGGTTTGGATAGGTTCTTGTTTGATTTTAATCTTCCCTAAACCTATTTTTCCTATGAGGCTATCTTCAGTTTCTGAATTATAAAATCCATAGGAGTTTTAAATAACAAAACCTTCAAGATAGGGTAGGGAATATTTTCATTTTATTGCCACTGACATCCTTTTGGGGGAAGTTAAGAATTCTATTTTAAAAATCCCCAGTTGTATCAGAATTATTTATCAGAACAGTTCTCTTTGTCATATGAGGATTATTAAAACTCTTCCTTTTACCTGTTAATTACAGAACGGCGACACATATTAACATGCCTGTTTTTTCTTTTAACAGCATATCTTTCTGAAGCCATGAAGCTGACACAGTCTGAGCAGGTGAGACATGTTCCCAATATTTTCAACAAGGGTTAGAAAGGTTTTCTTGTAGAGGCTTGAATTGTGTGTATAGCAAAGCGTTGTGTCCCTCTCAAAATGCTCTAGTCAAAAATATATAAAATGGGCAAGGGAAGAGCACTTCACAACGGAAATTAAAACTAAATGAACTACAGTCGATGCCCCAGACATGGAATGCAGAAACTTCTTTTTTTCTAGTGGTTACTCACAGATCTCAGATTGCCAGCCAGATGTACCTTTTAGAGAGCCCTCTTTGGACCATTCCTGATCATTAGCTCTTATTTGATCATTAGCTCACAGTCAGTAAGCAGGCCTGGCCAAGAGGAAACCAGCTGGACTACCCTTTGCTTGTCAAAGATAATTTAAATGTGACCCGTTTCCCACTTGTCTTTGCTTGAGTTCTTAAGCAGTTCAGGTACTTTTAAATTTGTTTCACCAATTGCTTTAAATTGTCTTCTGTGCTTGGGGAGGCCCTGCCAAGTGTTTCAAGATACATTTATTCATAAGACTGGGCATGGTGGCCCGTGCCTATAATCCCAGCACTTTGGGAGGCCAAGGCAGGGGGATCATACTTGAGCCCAGGAGTTCGAGACCAGCCTGGGCAACATTGTGAGACCCCATCTCTACAAAAATTTTAAAAAATTAGCTGTGCATGGTGGCACATGCCTGTAGTGCTAGCTACTTGGGAGGCTGAGGTGGGAGGATCACTTGAACACCTGAGTTCAAGGCTGCAGTGAGCTATGACTGGACCATTGCACTTCAGCCTCGGCAACAGGGACCCTGTTTCCAAAATAAATACATATAAAATATCTTGTTTAAAACTTTTTATTGTAAAAGTATCAGTTAAGGAGATCATTTCTGTGAGGTATATCAGTGGCAGGGAGAGCCACTAGTTTCTCAAACTGAACCAAGGGAACTTTAAAGTTGTGTTCTGTCCCTTTCACTGCCTTTGAAAGTATGGAATCTGCTCGTGATACAGGCATGCTTTGAACTATCCAAACACACTGTTGATAAAGATGACTTTCTTTTTAGCTGTTGGTAGAATTAGTATGTCTACAGAGGAAAGATTTCTAATTTTAAGTTGAGTACAAATGCCATTACACATGGGGTCAGGCACATTGAGGAAAACATCTGATTTGGTGTATTGATTGGGAATAGGACTTCTAACTTTCTGAATGAATGGTGTTTTTGCAAACATAGTATGTAAATTGTAAGTGTTGTTGGGTTATTCAGAAAGGAGGATTTTGGAGTAGTGTATGTTGGACATTACTAAGACACTTAAAATGTTAAAATTCTTCAAATTTTACCTTTCCTTCTATGTAATAGGCTCATCTTTCACTGGAATTGCAAAGGGATAGCCATATGAAACAGCTCCTCCTCATCCAAGAGAGATGGAAAAGGGCCCAACGTGAAGAAAGATTGAAAGCCCAGCAGAACACAGACAAGGATGTAGCTGCCCATCTTCAGGCATCTCACAAACCCTCTGCAGAGGATGCAGAGGGCCAGAGCCCCCTTTCTCAGAAGTACAGCCCTTCTACAGAGAAATGCCTGCCTGAGATTCAGGGGATCTTTGACAGGGATCCAGACACACTACTATATTTACTTCAGCAAAAGAGTGAGCCAGCAGAGCCATGTATTGGAAGCAAAGCCCCAAAAGATGATAAAACAATTATAGAGGAGCAGGCAACCAAAATTGCAGATTTGAAGAGGCACGTGGAGTTCCTTGTGGCTGAGAATGAAAGATTAAGGAAAGAAAATAAACAACTAAAGGCTGAAAAGGCCAGACTTCTAAAAGGTCCAATAGAAAAGGAGCTGGATGTAGATGCTGATTTTGTAGAAACATCAGAGTTATGGAGCTTGCCACCACATTCAGAAACTGCTACAGCCTCCTCGACCTGGCAGAAGTTCGCAGCAAATACCGGGAAAGCCAAGGACATTCCAATCCCCAATCTTCCTCCCTTGGATTTTCCATCTCCAGAACTTCCCCTTATGGAGCTCTCTGAGGATATTCTGAAAGGATTTATGAGTAATTAAAATGGAAGGCCACAGAAAAGGGGAAAAGAGGAAATAATACAGTGATCATTAATCCAGCAAAAAAAAAAAATGAAAAGGGAAAACCACATAGAAGGGTCATCCCGGAAATGCTTCATCTGGTGGACTGTGGGAGCAGAGGCATTGCCAGGACTTGGGAAACAGTCACTGTGAAATGCGCCGCATATCTCATTCACTCACTTGAGCTAATGATTCCGACTTGGCAGACACTAAACTCATGGAGGTTCGGTTTCTCCTGATACAAACCAAATGGCTACCTGGAATAATTTCTTTCAAGCAACAGTTATTTTTCTTATCTTCAGGGTTAAAATGTATAAAAGTTATGTGTAATTAATCTATAATGCCATAAATGATAATGCAAAACCTAAATAATATGGTGGCCGGAGGGGCTGCCTTATATTTGAAACATGCTTTCTATCATGCATTGACTGTATGCATTTTGTTAATGCACATTTTGTTTGTTTAAATAAGGTGTGTAAGATACACACCCTTCTAGATGAAACTATATGTGCCACACTTTGCACTACTCATAATAACCTCAAGACTATCAGAAGAAATATTTAAATTTCCATTTTATGAAGAAAGGAACCAAATTATTATGCTTTTTTTAAACAAATTACCAGTTTACATAATTAATCAGGGTGCATTTTAAGTTCTAACTTTGTTTATTGTATAGTGCATCATTTGAAAATACCAAGGAGGAAATACCCTTTGTTTTTAATGATGCAAGAGTGGAAGTAATGCTAGTTGGCAGTATTTGATTGTAAGAAATCAATAAAGTAATTGTGTTTTATACCTTTGTTGAATGTGGTTGATAGTTAAAAAGCAAGGCACTGAGAGGCTTCTCTCTGCGTTGTAAACTTTGAACAGTTGCGGTTAGATGATTACTTTTGTGTGTCAAGGATGTTTTTTTTTTTCCTTCAGTGTTTTGTAGTCCATTTCCCTTACGACTAGGGTGACAGAGAGTACAGAAGTTCCTGAGGTTTAAATGTGTTATTTCCAACCTTTTTCCTGACCACCACATGGAAAATGCTCAGGGCTGCTCTAGGCTGGAGGGAGCTGTCCCTTGGGCACCTGCCACCCTGTCAGAGCATAGTGTGGGGAAGTGCTGCTTTGGATTCTCTCTGCCAAGCTGGATGATGTTCCATGAGAAAGAAGGGGAAGAGGAGAATATAAGCAAAACATTTGGGTACAAGCTACTGGGCATGTTGAAATCTTGGGTTTGCTGTGTGGAATTACAGAAGTGAGAAATACATTGCCTCCTCTGAGGACAATTGGGTTGAGGAAGTTGGGCTAGGCTCACAAATCCAGTGATGAAACTAGTAGAAATAGGGCCAGGCGTGGTAGCTTATACCTGTAATCCCAACACTTTGGGAGGCTGAGATGGGAGGGTCGCTTGAACCCAAGAGTTTGCGACCAGCCTGGGCAACATAGTGAGACCCTGTCTGTACCCAAAAAAACTTCAGCTGGGTGCAGTGATGGTGCGCCTGTAGTTGCGGTTACTCCAGAGGCAGAGGTGGGAAGATGACTTGAGCCTGGGAGGTTGAGGCTGCAGTGAGCTGTCATCACACCACTGCATTCCAACCTGGACACTACAGTGAGATTCTGTCTCAAAAACCAGTAGAAGTGACCATGGAGAAATCGTATTTTTTCCTGTCTCATCTTGCAGATGAAACAAAAAATAAACTAGCTTGTTAAATTATTTTGAGCTCTATACTCTCTTAAAAGTTACGTTAATTTCCTGGGCACAGTGGCTCATGCTTGTAATCCCAGCACTTTGGGACACCGAGGCAGGTGGATCACCTGAAGTCTGGAGTTCGAGACCAGCCTGACCAATATGGCAAACCCTGTCTCTTACTAACAATACAAAGATTAGCCGGGTGTGGTGGCATGTGTTTGTAGTCCCAGCTACTTAGGAGGCTGAGGCAGGAGAACCACTTGAACCAGGGAGGCGGAGGTTGCAGTGAGCCAAGATCACGCCACTGCACTCCAGCCTGAGCAACAGAGCTGGACTCTGTCTCAAAAAAAAAAAAAAAAAGTTAGTTTGTTTATCTCAGTGTTTTTTTATTACTATTTTTTCTGTTTGACTATAATTTCTGTTCTGCTAAACATCTCAGTGTTTTAATATCCTAGACTCAGAACATTTTACTTGCCTAACCTTGCTCATAAAACTTGATATTAAAAGCTTATGCCAAAAATAAGTCATGTGTTGCTTAACAAGGATGTGTTCTGAGGAAAATGTTGTTAGGTGATTTTTTCATGTGAGCATCCTAAAGTGGACTTACACAAAGCTAGGCGGCAGAGCCCACTCCACACCTAGGCTGTATAGTCTTGCTCCTGGGCTACAAACCTGTACAGCATGGGCCTATACTGACTAGGCAGTTGTAACACAATGGTATTTGTGTATCTAAACATAAAGGTATGGTCTTATAATGTGTCATGTGGCCCATCATGGACTGAAATGTTATATGGCACATGGCTCTATTAGCCTAGCCATTTCTCTCTAAAAGATGAGCTCTGTTACATTTAACACACACACTTTTTTTTTGTTTGTTTTTTGAGATGGAGTCTCACTGTTGCCCAGGCTGGAGTGCAAAGGCGCGGTCTCTGCTCCCTGCAACCTTTGCCTCCCGGGTTCAAGCGATTCTTCTGCCTCAGCCTCCCGAGTACCTGAGACTACAGGCATGCGTCACCACAACAGGCTAATTTTTGCATTTTTAGTAGAGCTGGGGTTTCACTATGTTGGCTAGGCTGATCTTGAACTGACCTCGTGATCTGCCTGCCTTGGCCTCCGAAAGTGTTGGGATTACAGGCATGAGCCACTGCGCCTGGCTGTGACATGAACAGTTTTCTAACTTACCCCCCTTTTCTACCACTACCACCTCCTTCCAGGGCCCTTCCCTGCCATTACTTTTACCAATTTGATATATATTTTCTAGGGCCCATTTCTTTGCATTTCCAGTAACATATTTATTTGGACTAATTTTACTTTTCTGTTGTCTTTGAAACTTACAGTATTTAATACGCTCGTTTAATCTGGTTCTGAAGTTTTGTGTTAGAATCTGTTACTAGAGTTTATGTGCCTTTTGACCAGGAGTATGTGGTACTTCTGCAGCATCCTAGCACCATGTCTTCTATAGAGTAGATACTGAATCAAACCCCAAAACCCCGCTTGTTTGATTCATTCTTAAGGCCTAGCCTCTACACCCATTGCCCCTCTCCTGGTTGGGGTTGTTAGGTGGTGGTGTGTCTTTGTCTAGCATAAGGCACTGAAAGGGATGTGAGAATAGCTTACTTCCTCTAAATAATGCATTCTGCATGTGTAGGAAGTTTAGTGGCCTCTTGTCCTTCATTATTCAGTGGTGGCCTCTTGCTGTTGAATCCAGATGACTGGACGTTAAGAAGTTCAGAAAGGCCAGGTGCGGTGGTTCGTGCCTGTAATCCTAGCAATTTGGGAGGCTGAGATGGGAGGATTGCTTGATCACAGGAGTTCAAGACCAGGATGGGCAACGTAGTGAGACCCTGTGTCTACATTAAAAAAAAAAGAAAAAAAAAAATGAGGTATGGTGGTACATGCTGAGTCCTAGCTACTTGGGAGGCTGAGGTGGGAGGATCACTTGAGCCCATGAGTTCAAGGCTGCAGTGAGCCATTACCATGCCACTGCACTCCAGTCTGGGCAATAAAGCAAGACCCTGTCTCAATCAGCCCAGAAAGCCTACCTCCGAGTTCTCATTGTCAGCTTTTCACAGACTAACAACAAAAGAAACATTTCTTTCATAAATAGTGTGTAGGAACAATTTTAGCTTAACCACAGGTAATGCATACTACCTAGGAACCATATTTAAGAGAAAGGGGGATAGGAGGAATTACGTTTTCAACATCATCAGTTCCTTCAAAACCATGTCTATCCCAGGTGTTTTATCAAGGTTATTGGAATAATGAAAATGTTTTGTCTGTAGATAAGCCAACTCAAAATGGTAAGTACATTATCTTTCTGCTTTTATAAGTCTGTGGGTACCTTTTTGTTTTAATATGTTTTGGATGTTACAATTTTTAGGGTCTTTAAGCAATGTTATTTTATATATAAACCACCTGAGGTCCAGAAGCTTGTGAGTTCCATGAAGCGATGTACCAGACTGGGAGCAGAGCCCAGAGGAAGGTAAGGCCTGATCACCATTTAGACTGTAGTGAGTTTACTGGGCCACACTGGGACTGGGTTGTCTAGTTGTCCTTCTGTGCCAAGGGACCTGATCTTCATGTACACAATATACCACTGTACCTCTGCTACTTTCTGCTTCCCAAGGAGGCATTGGAGACTATGATATTGTGATTTATAAGAAGAAATAAATATTTTGCTGTTTGTCTCTGGTTCCTGGCACAGAGCTCCCAAGTCTCCTGTAATTTCCTGGCTGGTAGGAACTTTTGTTCTAATGTTATGCCTCTCCATGGGCCCCTGGATAGGGATTGGTCACCAGAAAGACCAGCCCATGATTAGAAGCTGAAAACTTTCCGCCCCACCCCACCCTTTGGAAGGGGAGAGGGGCTGCAGATTGAGTTACAATTGATTATGCCCATATGATTAAGCCTCCATAAAAATCCCTGAACTACATGATTCTTGGAGCGTCCATGTTACTGAACATGTGGAGCTGGTGTGCCCTGAGAGGACACAGAAACCCCATGCCCCTGCCCCATGTCTTTCTCCCATGTAGCTGTTCTGATAAGTACTTTCATAATAAATAGTTAAATGTAAATAAGATGTTTCCCTAAGCCATTCAAGCAAAGGATTGAATCCAAAGGGGTTAGGCAGCAGTGGGGAGTGTTGTGGGAACCTCTGATTTACAGCTGGTTGGTCAGAAAAACAGGTCGAACCTGGGACTTGTGGTTGGGTCTAAATTAAGGGTAGTCTTGTGGGACCGAGCCCTTAACCTCCAGGTAGGTAGAGCCAGAGTTGAGTTAAATTTGTAGGATCACCTACCAGAGAATTGATGTGTGGGAAAAAAAACTCACACCTGGTGTTGGAAGTGAAGTATGGAGAGTGAGTTGAGAGAAAAAAAGTGTTGGTTTTTCTTTTTTTTTTTTTAAAGATCATTTTATTTTTTGAGATGGTCTCACTGTTGCCCAGGCTGAAGTACAGTGTGTCAATCATGGTTCACAGCAGCGTTGATCTCCTGGGCTCAAGGGATCCTCCCACCTCAGCCTCCTGAGTACCAAGGACTACAGGTGTGCCACCACACCTAATTTTTTAATGTTTTGTAGAGTTGGAATTTCACTATGTTGCCCAGGCTGGTCTTGAACTCCTGGCCTGAAGTGATCCTCCTGCCTCAACCTCCAAAAGTGCTGGGATTACAGGCATGAGCTACCACGACTGGCCTAGTTTTTCTTTATTCAGAGACCATCTGGTGAGACTTGAGTTTGTTTTTACACTCAATAGAAAAAAGCTTCATGTCTATTTTTAATGATAACCCTTCATTTGTGAGCAGTTGTGGTTAGAATCTTATTTGAAAATGATTAAGATGAATACTTGTGTGAGGCAGTCTGCCACAGGGTGTTTATAACCTATTTGAAGCGTCAGGGTGTAAACTAATAGTAGCTATTATTTATTGATTCATTCTAAATCGTAGGTTATGTAAAGATCAAAAGTGTTTAATTTTAATATCATTATATTGTGTCATAATCCCAGTGTAGTCTAATCAAAGATCTCTGGGAGTGGATGGCGTGGCTGTTTAAAAAAGTATAAAGGGCATCCTCAGATTATTTGTTATATCCCAGGTGCAATCTTGTGTTTTTCAGAGCTACTGCTAACCAACACTGCCATCTGGTGGACAGTAAGAAACTTCTGGTTCTTGTTGGGTCCATTAGCCAGGAAGGGTATTATGGTGTCGACTCAAGGCTAGGCTGTGCCAATGACTGACATGGAAGAATGAATCTGTTGAGGTGTTACTTGACTTCTGTCTAGAATAGATACAGAAAACCAATTCAAAAAGAAAGTGTCTTTAAGAAGCCTGGGCCAGGTTAGTGCAGGCAGGGACTGTAGTCTTACATACTAGTTTCCTGTCTGATATGACCTTTCAGGTTTTGCTGCCTGGGTTTAATCTCAAGAAGGTTGACCCTCAGTGGGCCTGGAAGTGCCTGGAGGTTAGGCTGAAAGCTATCATTAGCAAGACTTGGTCTAGCTGGGGAGAAGGGTTTGCTGATCTGGAGAATTTGGCAGCCAAAGCAGGCCTGAACCAATACCAATTTCTTTAGAAAAGAATCAACTTGATGTTTGCTCAGGACCTGGGAAGGAGGTGTGGTGGGCCACAAAGAGTTAATAAAGGCTGGGCACAGTGGCTCCTGCCTGTAATCTCAGCACTTTGGGAGGCTGAGGCGGGTGGATCATTTGAGGTCAGTAGTTCAAAATCAGCCTGGCTAACATGGTGAAACCCCATCTCTACTAGAAATACAAAAATTAGCCGGGTGGTAGTGGTGGGTCCCTGTAATCCCAGCTACTCGGGAGGCTGAGGCAGGAGAATCGCTCCAGCCTGGGAAGCGGAGGTTGCAGTGAGCCGAGATCCCACCACTGCACTCCAGCCTGGGCCACAGAGTGAGACACTGTCTCAAAAAAAAAAAAAAAAAAAAGTCCTTAGTTGGATGCTGGTAAATGTCTCATAGTAAGAGTAGTTCATAAACATCTTGCCTTATGCTACTAAAAATACAAAGTAGCTGGTATACTTCTCACCTCCATTAAAGTATCTGGGATCAAAGAATGGGGAAATGACTTTCTAGGTATTTCTCTCTCTTTTTTCTTTTTTTAGATGGAGTCTAGCTCTGTTGCCTAGGCTGGAGTGCAGTGGTGCGATCTCGGCTCACCACAACCTCCGCCTGCCCGGTTCAAGTGATTCTCCTGCCTCAGCCTCCCTAGTAGCTGGGACTACAGGCATGCGCCACCACACCCAGCTAATTTTTGTATTTGTAGTAGAGACAGGGTTTCACTATGTTGGCCAGGCTGGTCTTGAACTCCTGACCTCATGATCTACCCGCTTGGGCCTCCCAAAGTGCTGGGATTACAGGCATGAGCCAGTGCACCCGGCTGTATTTCTAGAACAGCAGGAACAAAGGCATGGAATTAAGGGAGGTGAGTGATCTTGGTCAGAATCATACAGTAGGACAATATGAGATGAAATTTGAGGGAGGCTCAAGTGGATTAGCTTTTTATTTCCTAAAGATGAAGGGGCCAAGATCAGGTTCCGGACTTGAGGAATGGAAAATATTTGGAATAAGCCCTCAAAGTTAGGGCCAAAAGAATCCAAGTGAAGGCGAGTTTAGTTTTTGCGGTCTTAGCCTGTTTCTCTAATGCGGGCGCACTACATTAGAAAAAAGTGGGAGGGCCCTTTTGACTCTCTGACCAGCACCACAGCAGTTGGCAAGAACAAGCGCCTTACGAAAGGTGGCAAAAAGGGAGCCAAGAAAAAAGTGGTTGATCCATTTTCTAAGAAAGATTGGTATGATGTGAAAGCACCTGCTATGTCCAATATAAGAAATATTGGAAAGGCACTCGTCACCAGGACCCAAGGAACCAAAATTGCATCTGATGGCCTCAAGCGTCGTGTGTTTGAAGTGAGTCTTGCTGATTTGCAGAATGATGAAGTTGCATTTAGAAAATTCACGCTGATTACTGAAGATGTTCAGGACAAAAACTGCCTGACTAACTTCCATGGCATGGATCTTACCCGTGACAAAATGTATTCCATGGTCAAAAAGTGGCAGACAATGATTGAAGCTCATGTTGATGTCAAGACTACCAATGGTTACTTGCTTCATCTGTTCTGTGTTGGTTTTACTAAAAAACGCAACAATCAGATACGGAAGACCTCTTGTGCTCAGCATCAACAGGTCCGCCAAATCCGGAAGAAGATGATGGAATTCATGACCCGAGAGGTGCAGACAAATGACTTGAAAGAAGTGGTCAATAAATCGATTCCAGACAGCACTGGAAAAGACATAGAAAAGGCTTGCCAATCTATTTATCCTCTCCATGATGTCTTTGTTAGAAAAGTACAAATGCTGAAGAAGCCCAAGTTTGAATTGGGAAAGCTCATGGAGCTTCATGGTGAAGGCAGGAGTTCTGGAAAAGCCACTGGGGACGAGACAGGTGCTAAAGTCGAATGAGCTGATGGATATGAACCACCACTCCAAGAATCTGTTTAAAGTTCAGACTTCAAATAGTGTCAAATAAAAAGTGCTATTTGTGGGAAAAAAAAGAAAAAAAGAAAAAAGTGGGAGGGGTAGTCCAGATATGAAGGAAGGATAAAGGGTGAAGGAATCAAGAATACAAATGAGAAGGTCTTTAAAATTGCCAAACACAGATTCCAGGATGTACAGGAAGACAAAGGAGACAGGTTAATTAGGGAGTGGGATAGGACTCAGGGACCAAAGCCTCCTAAGGGATGCCCAAAGGTAGTTTCCGGGAAGGGACTCTTGATTTGGTTGATTGGAAGAACCAAACAACAATTAGCCCTAGGCTTCCTCCAAGGAAATTCCCTAAAGAAAAGTCTTGCTATTCAGAGTGTTATTAATTCCCAGGGTCTTCGTTGCCACTAATAGATCTTTTTGGAGGGCCTGATATCAGATATTTCCCTATTCTTAGGAGGAGATGGCTGTTCAGGGAAGAACGCCAGATGTTAATAGAAGAAACAGAAGGATATTAAACATTCCATTAAGCTGGTGATTGGAAAAGAAAAAAAAGTTAAACATTGCCACAAAATCCTTTGGTTTCAGTGTTGAAACTAAATAAAACTCTAAGGAGGCAGCAAGATGTTAAATGGGGCAAGAGGGTCATAGACCAGTTTTCATTCTTAGGTAATGTTCATCTATTTGAAATATCCACACTTTGGGCATTGCGGTAAATTCCAGAATGGCACTTGTCTTGGTCTTTAAAGTTGGTTGAATACAGTACTTGAGGTATTGGTTGGATTTTTGAAAGGCAGGCTCATTTATTGAAAGGCTGGCAATGATAAATAGGCTCACAATTCAAAATGGAGGGATACAGACTTACATTGCTTGCCCATGGTTTTGTGATGATAAATCTGTGTGGGACTATGAAGCTATTAGAAATGTTCAGTTTAAGTGTTTGGCATATTGATATGCTGACAGAAAAAATGGTATGCCAATTTTTATATAATGATCTATGCTCTGTAGAGTGGCATACATGGAAAAGATTTGTCAGAAGTAAGCCAATAACCATGATCACCTCTGGGTGGGGGAATTACAGGTGTCCCCCTCCAGGTACCCTCCCTTCCCCCAATTCCTTACACTTCTTAGTCCTCACATTATCTTGATAAGTTTGGGGAAAAAATAAATAAAACCCCTGAGGTTTTTAAGAATCAGAAACAATTTGAGCTCAAATCAATTAGTGGTCACCCCTGTATACCTTTTAAGTAAACCCCTCTCCCTGTAGTTCACAGTAGTGGCTTCTGGCTTACAGGGTATCACAGAAAACTTCAACTTAACTTAGTTTAAACAGTAGAAACACGAGACTATGAGAATTTTTCAGTTGACCAAAATTTTTTCAGCTGACTTGAAAAATCCAGCCACCTGCTAAAGGTTGGAAAGACATGACTGGAATACTGAGGTGGACTCCTAACTCAGGTTGCATACAGGAAAGCAGACTACAGTGGCCCAGGGATAAGCAGCAATTTTCCAGGACTAAGTAATTTCTGGAGCTTGTACATTTGGAACACATTTACAACAATCTGTCATGGGACTCAATCTAAAGGGGCTAAATTACTACTTTTATTTATCCTCTGGGAGGGAATGTGAGAAATAATGGATCAAGTCACATGATACCAATTCAACAGCTATGCCAAATCCTTAATGTTCTAGAATTGGTTTCTGAAATCCTATGGTTTCATTGGTTTTAGAAAGCTTTGATTTGAAGAATCTCTTGGTGTACAAGTCAATTCAGCTGTTGGTTTTGAACATGCAAATTTGTTCCAATATAATATATTATTTGCTTAGGGAGCAATTCATTCTGCAAGAAAATGAACGCAGAAAACTGCACCTCTTGAACCAAGCTGCAGGGAAACACATAAAGCACCCACACACACCTCGAATAGACACTTTCACAGTGACATTGAACTACACCCATCCATATTTCCTTTCCCTCTGATTCCAGATAGCCCACCTTCCAGATAACCCACCTTCTTTTCCCTCTATTCCAGATAGCCCTTACTTTCACAGGAAGTCAAATCACAAACTGCAACCCTTCTGAGGCCCACTTCCATAAGCACACTGAGTCTTCCTCAAGGTAAAGTGCCATATTTGTTTGTAGTGTTTATATATTTCTTAAATGTTTATGTGTAAACCCACTGTTTTTAAATGTGTCACTGGTGAAGTTTTAAAGTGCTATGCCCTAATACCATTTTTCATATAAGCCCTGTGGTTTGTATTTGTGGAACTTTTCATAGTGTAGTGATTTTTAGAAACTAAAATGGAATTCATTTTCCTAAAAGGTTGTATAGGCTGGCCTTTTTCCTTTCTATATGAAATGTTTGCTTAATATTTTCTTGTGCAATGTAATTTGTCTCTGCAAAACAGGAGTAAATTCTAGTTATTCAAAAATTTTGGAGATGAGTCCCCACATATGTATTACCCACTCCCAAACAAATTAGGGGATAAAATAAATATATTAGGTTGGCTATACAATGTTTGTTTGTTTGTTTGTTTGTTTGGAGAGGCGGGGTCTGGCTCTGTCACCCATGCTACAGTGCAGTGGTGTGATCTTGGCTCACTGCAACCTCCATCTCTTGCTATTCAAGCTATTCTGCCTTAGACTCCAAAGTAGCTGGGATTACAGGCATGTACAACTACACCCAGCTAATTTTTGTATTTTTAGTAGAGACGGGTTTTCAACATGTTGGCCAGCCTGGTCTCGAACTCCTGACCTCAAGTAATCTGCCGGCTGCAGCCTCTCAAAGTGCTGGGATTATGGGCATGAACCACCACACCCGGCCTAAATTCACTGATAAGAAAAGCGCCTCAGGCTACCACAGTATCTTCTAGATGTTTAATGTGAAAATAATGTGATTATATTTTATCTATAGAATGGGAGAGATGAGACTACATTGACTTGCCTATGACATCCTGGTAGTCGTTTACTAGACAACTATGATAGGAATTTGTCTAACTGACATTCACCTCTTATAAAGGCTATTCCAAGATGCAGCTCCTTCCCTGCTGCCCTTCTAGAACAAGAAATTAAGAGTGAATGACTTTCTAAATCACTCTTGAAAAGTGTATAGAAGTCTCAGTGAATGTGTTTATGCAAAAAGGCCAAATGGAGATCTAATATATACACATTTGCTCTGTCCTTTTTGTTACTTGAAGGGTTGTGCGAATACTACCTTTCCGAAGCCTTCCGTAACCCCAGGCAAAATTTATTACACCTTTTCCAAATACTTTGTATATACCTGTCATATACTATTTAGCATAGATGGGCCAGTCCTCAGCATCTTTTTTTTTTTTTAAACCATCATATCACCAATGCCTAACACTTTTGAGTAAGTTGTAAATACAGGGTTTTTGTTTGTTTGAGACAGTCTTGCTCTGTCTCCTAGGCTGGAGTGCAATGGCACGATCTCGACTCACTGCAACCTCCGCCTCCTGGGTTCAAGCAATTCTTCTGCCTAAGCCTCTTGAGTAGCTGGGATTACACGCCTGTACCACCACACCCGGCTAATTTTTGTATTTTTAGTAGAGACGGGGTTTCACCATGTTGGTCAGGCTGGTCTCAAACTCCTGACCTCAGGTGATCAACCCGCCTGTCTCCCAAAGTGCTGGGATTATAGCCGTGGGCCACCACACCTGGCCCAAGATAGTTCTATCTTACACTTATGTAGGGCATGGCATGTGCGGCTGGGAACAGTGATCCCTGTCTTTGTCGTGAACTTCTTCCACTTACTAAAGCAAACCTGTTATCACCCACCTTGAACCGTTGTTTCCATATTCCGCAGTAGCCCCACCTGTCAGTTACCATCCTTACTATGGTGCCAGAGGACCACACTGGCTCTTCTTGGAAAAGCAGTCAGTTCGCATCTGATCTTACACTTCCTTCTCATTTTTTTTTTTCTTTTTTTTTTTTTGAGAAAGTCTGGCTCTGTCGCCCAGGCTTGAGTGCAGTGGCACAGTCTCAGCTCACTGCAACCTCTGCCTCCCAGACTCAAGCAATTCTCGTGCCTCGGTCTAGAGAGTAGCTGGGACTACAGGCCTGTGCCACCAGGCCCAGCTAATTTTTATACTTTTAATAGAGAAGGGGTTTCACCATGTTGGCCAGGCTGGTCTCAAACTTCTGGCCTCGTGATTTACCCACCTTGGTCTCCCAAAGTGTATTTGTTTGCTCATCCAGCTCTCCACATCTTTTATCCTGTTAAATTTGGGTCAAAGACTAAGGGGTGGTGAGGTAGTGTTGGCCTCTGTACTCATAATGCCCTTCCTCTCAAAGTGGAGTCCATTTGACCCACTCCGTACAATGTATGTCCTTGGTATACCCTCCACTGGCCCCAGGGCTGAGGTCTTTTTCACAGACAAGACACAGAAAGGACAATTCTGTTTTAGCTACAGCCAGTTGTGAAAACCTCCGCAGGCAAGAAAGGGAACTAACTTACAAGGCATGCAGCCAGTGACCTGGAGCCTGCCAACATTTCATTGTTATTTAAAAGTCAATTACTTTTCATTAAAAGAACCAGGACGAGCCAAAGTACTTCGCATACTACTAACGTTTGCTACATTTTTATATTGTTTCAAAGCATATCTATGTAGGTTTATATAATAATTGCATAACTAGGCCATGTCATAACTTTTGCAGTTGGAAATGTCTGAGTCTGCATCCTGGTGACAGGACTGGCAGCATATATAACCTTGTGTCTTGGCCAACTTGTTATCCCAAGTCATACTGAATACCGTATTGAATACAGAATGATAACTAGCTGGGCGCAGTGGCTCACACTTGTAATCCCAGCACTGTGGATGGCCAAGTGGGCGGATCACCTGAGGTCAGGAGTTCAAGACCAGCCTTGGCCAACATGGTGAAACCCTATTCCTACTAAAACCACAAAAATTAGCTGGGCATGGTGGCGTGGGCCTGTAATTCAGCTACTTAGGAGGCTGAGGTAGGAGAATCCCTTGAACCCGGGAGACAGAGGTTGCAGTAAGCCAAGATTGTGCCACTGCACTCCAGCCTGGACGACAACAGCAAACTCCATCTCAAAAAAACAAAACAAAACAAAACAAAACCCATTACATAGAATAACTAAATCACTTTTTCCTCTCCCATGGCTGACTGCTGATCTCATTTGTGAGCATCTTTGATAAGCTGGCATCTAGAAATAGAACACGTTAAATCTATCGATCTATAGTATATATGCACAGAGCAAAGTAAAGGTGTAACAGCACTTTTCTGAAGCTTATTAGTTTTACCCGGATGTTACTAAATCCATAACCTATGTACCAAAAAGGGAAGTGACAGAAAACCAGACACTGATTTTTCTGGGTATTACAGTCCCCAGACACATGGCAGAAGACAAATGCATTTGAATGCATGTATTTGATTATTCATGAAAAGAAATCCATATTCCAGTAAAAACATTATCAATTAGGGCCAGGTGTGGTGGCTTACACTTCTAATTCCAGCACTTTGGGAGGCTGAGGTAGGAAGATCACTTGAGCTCAGGAGATAAGAGACCAGCCTTGGTAACATAAGACCTCATCTCTACTAAAAAAAAAAAAAAAAAAAAAAAATACATAAGAAAATAATAAATAAGAAATTTAAAAATCACGCCTGCAATCCCAGCACTTTGGGGAGGCTGAGGCGGGTGGATCATCAGGTCAGGAGTTCGAGACCAGCCTGGCCAACATAGTGAAACCCCATCTCTATGAAAAATACAAAAATTAGCCAGGTGTGGTGGCACACGCCTGTAGTCCCAGCTACTCGGGAGGCTGAGGCCGGAGAATCACTTGAACCCGGGAGCTGGAGGTCGCACTGAGCCGAGATCACACCATTGAACGCCAGCCTGGGTGACAGAGTGAAACTCAGTCTCAAAAAATTAGCTGAGCACAGTGATGTGTGCCTGTAGTCCCAGCTACTCGGGAGGCTGAGGCAGGAGAATCACCTGAGCCCAGGAGTTCAAGGCTACAGTGAGCTATGATTGTACCACTGTACTCCAGCCTGGGCAACAGAGCGAGACTGTCTCAAAAAAACATTATACACTAGAATGGGAAAGAACGAAAGAGCGAGACTGTCTCAAAAAAACATTATACACTAGAATGGGAAAGAACTAAAGTACTCACCACGACTTTCCTTTTATAAAGGCTCTTTGTTGTTTCTCAAATTATTCTACACATTTAAGATAACACCATACCACTGTCTGGAGGGAGCTGACATACTCAGACATAATCCTGAGGAGCATCAGACCCAACCAAAAGGATGGAGAGAAAAAGGCCAGAGTAATTGCTCCAGTAATTAGGGAGTAATCAGTAATGAACTCCCCAGCCTTCCAAAAAGCCTACAAATGTCGTTAAGGATGTAAACATTATGGTCCTCTCCCTTCACCCCAGGTTTACAAGGAATTAGGTCAGTAGCATGGAATTCAGACTATGGATAGAATATTCTTCCGACTATGGATAGAATACTCATTAAGGTGGGTCTGCACTGAAAGAAGCCACATTGCCTGGCTTTATCTTTGTTAGCTTCAGCTATTCAGAATAAGTTGTAAATGTGGTTCAAAGGTGGCTCATGCAAGAGCAAGCAGCAAAAGCTTTTGAGGAAAAACAATCGCCACAGACTGTGGGATCCTGGCAGGCTTTAGGGGACCAGCAGGTGGTGCTCTACTCCAGAACTAACACCTTGGCTTTCACTTAATATCAAAATTAAATCAGATGGAACATATGAATGCATTAGGCAAAAGAAGCCACTTTATCAGCTGAGGCACATATGGAAAAATGGTATTTAAGAAAGTCAAAAGCTCACCAAAGAAGGTTCACAAAATCATTTGAAATATTCCTCAGGCCAATTTTTCTTTCTAGCCAAGTAGTCATTATCCATCCCATGATGAGTGTAGGTAATTAATAAGAAACGCCACATGTAGGTAATCCATGTGAAATGTAATTGCTCACATTCCTGGCTGAACCTTGCCTGAAGTGGAGGGTGGCATAACAGATTACATGGAGCTAAATGATGGTGACACAGGGAAAAACAGTATAAGCAACTTGCAAGGTGTTACAACGTGGACTCCCACTTTCTTTTAAGCTAAATGCTTTCAGATGAGAAGGAAAGGCTATCCTCTCAATATCCTGCAGGTGTCAGTGGAGACCTACATCTTTCCAGCAACCTAAAGGGTTACGAATACGTAAGCCTCAAGCAACCAACTGACAATAGCAGCCAGCTATTAAAACCAAGACTTCAAATTAAAACAGCTTGCTAAGGTCATACAGTAAGTGGCAGAACTCATATTTATACCCAGGATGACTGACTTCGGGCTCTTCTCTGCCCCCAGTGGTATGCTTGTCAACACAGGGAGAACTCTGGAAAAAGTCAATTTTTGATAAAGTCCTTTTAATGGAAAATGTAAAACCCCTTTCAACTTTAATGTACAAAGCCATATGTAACACTTGCACTTTAACAAAAGCAAGCCAATGTTTTAAAAAAATACATCATTAAATGTATATATGTATATATTT